TCAACACTGAAGCATGGGAACCTAAGCAGTCAGTCAGTATTGGAGGGTAGGGAGGAGCTGAAGCTGAGAGTGTGCAGAGCCAGAATTTGTCTGTGTTTGGGAGAATGCGGGACAGAGTCAGAACTCAGAGAGAGAGGCCCAGGGTCAGAGGGAGACAACAGAGGCCTGAGGAGCTATAGAACAAATGCCAAGGATCACAATCACGACTGACAGAAAGAAGTGAGGAATGGCAGGCTGGGCAGGGAGGTGGGAGAGATTAGTACCGTAGAAGACCTACAGGCTGCTGCCTAAGGCAGGTTTCCACATGCCTGAGCAGACAGAATGCCTTTAATGGGCAAGATTAAAGAGCAGGTAGAAGGTGACTGGAAGCCATGTAGAGCTGTGGTTCTCAAACCTAGCTGAGAATGAATAGGGCTATTTTTTTTTAATGCAAAGGCCCTGCATATTGAAATCCTGGCCTTCTTTTTAGTCCTAAAGGCAAAGAGAAGCTATTGAAAATTTAAGGAGGGTGTGTGTTGTGTGTGTGTGTGTGTGTGTTGTGTGTGTGTGTGTTGATGATATTTGTGTGGACAGGAAATTGGGGAGACTAGTTAGGAGGGTATTAGGCATGTGATTCAAGAATAGGAATTTTGCAAAAGGATCCCATGAATTTAAAATATGCAGTTGAGCGGAGAACCACTTCTAAAACAATAGTCTTTAATTTTGACTGCAGACTGTATTCACCTGTGAAGCTTTTAAAAACTACTGATACCTGGACTTCCCTCCCAGAAATTCTGCCTTAACTAGTCAAATGTGACCTCTGCATGGAGATTTTTAAAAGCCTCTCCAGAGGTTTCTATCATAGAGCAAGGGCTGAGAACCACTGGTAAGCCACTCAAGGAGATTTGCTACTTAAAGCATGGTCTGGTGACCAGCAGAATAGTTATCTGAAAACTTGTCAGAAATGTCCACTCTTGGGCCACTGACTCAGAAGCCCTGGGAGGTAGAATCATCCAGGTGATTCTGGTGGACGTTAAAGATTTAGAAGCATAATTCCAGAGGGACAAAGTTATAATTTCAGAATGAGAATCCACTAGGGAATCTGGCTACTGAATATTTCAGAGGCTCAGGTGTTAACTCACTTCCATAACCTTGTGTGTAACTTTGGCTTCCAGTCAAACACAAAGGATGAGTAATAGTTTCTCCTCTACGAGGCCAACCTTCCTCCCACCTTGGGACATATCCAGTCTGGATAGAGGCCTGATTTTTTTCTCTCCTGGATTCTCTGATCTCCTACTCTGGTAGAATCTCTGCTAGAGATTATACTGGCTCCCTCCCTAGGCCTGACTTTCAGATGCAGTTCACAGGAAACAGAGATGAGCAGAGCACACAGGAAGGGATTTGAACACAGGTAAGAAGACTCAATGGCACTACCCAGGAAGAACTCAGGAAGCAAACACTCGGCTTACAGGAAGTGGGTCTTTCCTGGTGGCTCAAATACACAGAGTGAGATCTGTGATCCGTAGAAGTGGGAGAGGCTGCTGCAGTTGACCTAAGGAAGAATTCTTCCCACCAGCACATTTCTCTGGCTCCTGCTCTATTAGCAGTGTGCAACCACAGTCGTGCTTTGCTGCCAGTGTTTCCAATTTTTTCTTCTCCCACTTATGACTCACCTAGGCATTAGGCAGTCTGTAAACTGTAGTAAGAGTGCAGGTTTTAGAAATGGAATGAGGGGTTAACATCTCACTCTAAAGAGGGAAAGGCTGGGCTTTCCCTCTGTCTTCTCTTTTTATGGATTTTCAAGTGGTGTTCCTAGGCAGCTGTGAATGTGCTTCAGGCTAGAGGGCTGAGGTTTCACTTGTGTATTTTCTGTGGCACATGAAGAAGTTTGTGTCTGGATCGTTCCCCTGCTGCAACAGAAAGCAGGGGTTCTTCAATTAAGATGAGTATACTTAGATACTTTGCTAGCATATTAAGGAGGTAACAATAATGGGGTCATTTTATTACCGTGTTGGGATAATTGTGATATTATGTTTTTTTATTACTATATTTTGTTTCCTCCTCCTTCACAAGGAGAAATCTGGGCCAGTTGAGTTTTTTTCCGACTAAAAATTCCCAAAACTTAGAAAGAAGCAAAAGAAAAAAAATACTAAGTATTATTTTAGTGCAGTGATTGCACTGACTTTGTATTCAACGAGTCATACACTACAACTTTTAAAAGTGAAGTTAGTTGAAAAATTTTTGTTGGGTAGAGATGCAGAAAATCTCTGTCCAGTGAACCAGACAAGACTCTCCCCGCTCCCCCTTCATTGGACAATAACCAGTTACGTAGCTAACCTACAATCTACTCTCAAGTGTGCTTTGGACCAGTTTTAATGTTTTACAGTTTTCCACATTCCCTGGAGTTGAAGACAATCACTGACATATATGTTCATTTAATATTTACATGAAATTCATACTTTTTAATCTCCAGAAACAGCTTATGTTATAGATAACCTTTTTTCTAGCTTTTGGTTTTCCAACAGCCTGAAATGTTTGTGCTAAATGGGGAGAAAAGGAAGGCAGAAGCAGTCAGACACACTGAAAGAAATTCTTAAAGACTGAGAGGGTGAGGAGCCTAGACCTGAATGTTGTATGGACCCCTGCCCTGCTCTTTTGTGGGGACCTCAGCACTAAGGAATGGGTGAATGGGACAATGAGGAAGATGAGAAAATGCCCTAGAGGCCTGGATCAATTACAGCCTTCCCAGCCTCCATAAAGATCCACATGCAGAGCACCAACTCTGACTTAAGTCTCTAGGTTGAGGGACCATGTGGGCTCAGGTAATAGCCAATCAAGAATGGACTGGTATGAGCTAAAGTCTGACAGTCTCTGTTCTACACAAGATACATGGCACCTTCATATCACCCTGGTGGTATTAAGATCCCTAATGATTGATCTCAAATTTCCCACCAACCTAGTGGATTGGGAACTTAAAATTGATGTAAATAAAGCAAATTCATGTGACATTTCTCATATACACTAGATTGGAGAATAAGATTCCTACTACTACATGAACAGAAGTTTTGCTTTCTTATGGGTGCTGCAGTTAGAGATGTCTGAAAGACCTAGGTTGTCTCCCACACAGGAGAAAAAAAGCAGCCAGTAGGAGGAGTCCTTTGTCTCCAGGAGGACCTGCTCAGTCTGTCAAATTCATCACTAATGCTGCCAAATACCTGTTACCTCCCTGAGACGCAGCTCTGTTGAGAGGCAGGATCACCTAAGCATATAAAGTAATCGCACATAAGGACCATGTGAGGGAATGTTTGGTAGTCTCCTGGCTCACTAAGCTCTTCTCCATCACAGCTTCATTTCTTTAGTCTTCAGATTTCCAGATTCCAGCACACGTGTTCACTCCCGTGACACTGCAAACCTAAGTCAGTGTTTCTGGTTGGTGTTTCTCAAATGTGTTCAGTGAACCTACCTGGGTTAGATTTACCTGAGGAACTTGATAAAACATGTTCCTCGACCCTTCCCCAGACCTGTTTGATCAGATCCTTTGGTTATGAGAAAGGAGATATCTCTGTCTATAACAAGTGTCCCAGGAGATTCTGATGTCCTCTAAAGCCTAAGAACCCCTGGGGGTCAATTTAGAGGTAGAGCAACACCTTGCCAAGAAATATGTGGGGCAGAGGTTGCCACCCTGAGTGCATACGAGAGTCCCACCAACATGAAAGATCTGTGGCAGGAGTTTATATGTATTTTCCTGGGGAGAAGACTTGGTGCCATCTGGTCTTCTGAAGCCTTGCTATTTGGAACGTTTTAGAGAAACACAGCATCAGCCTTATTTATTGGAAATAGAGTTCATTACAAATGCTGGTTCACAGGCCTGGCCCAGATCTATTGACTCAGAATTTGCATTTTAGTTCAACCCCCTGATGCTTCTCTTGCACATTATAGTTTGAAAAGCACTGGTGTAGGGGAGGAGAAAGGGATTGGTATAGAGGGAAAAAAGGAAATCTTCAAGGAGGAAAAGCATAGCTAATGTAAGGTTCAAGTTCGCCAGTTTCCCATTCAGCTAAGGACACCGAACTACATGTCTGTGTGCATGCGTGCACGAGAGAGTTTATGTCCCCACAGGAAAATTCATGAATCACGCTCTCTCTCTGGTGCCTTTGCAGTTCCAGGAGTCCAGGGCCACTCCTGTGGCTCTGTGGCTCAGCCAGCCGGGGCCTCCTAAGGGCACTAGGTTGCCCCTGCCCCCAGCTCCAGTGTGTCCTTGTTCTCCTTCCATCTGCTGCTGCAGCAGGGCTATGTGCAGGGGAAGGCAGATTCATCCGAGTGGCTGCTGGGTTGTTATGCAGAGTGACAAACTGAGAATGGTGGTAAGAACGAGTTAACTCACACCCTACCGCTTTGGTTGCAGACCGTGTTGGCAGGAGAGATGAAGGGAAAGACACTGGGGGCGGCAGCTCTTTGCCCTTTCCCTGTAGGCTGCCTCTGGGTTTGCTCCATTCTGCAGTTGGTCCTGGCTGCCCTCCCGCTGCACAGCTTTCACCCACACCATCCTTTCTCTTCAAACAATGCTGCCAGGAGACTCGAGACTCTGCTCCCAATATATGGCTGGCCAAGGGCCAGCAGAATCTGGCTGCCGGCCCACTGACTAATCACTGGGCCAGAACCGCGGCTTCTCCATGAGCAGCAGCCTGCATTTCCTCGCTGGCCTGTGGGTGGCAAAGGGTCTCCTGGCTCCTCCGGACCTGGGCATAGCCAGGGGCTGCTCTGGGAGGGGCTCCACAGCTTTCTTTGCTTCATTCTCTGTGTTAACACCTTCCTACTCTCTCCCTTCTTTTTTGATTTGTCTCTGATTCCTCACTGTAGTTTACCTTCCTGTGCGTCACTCTACCCAAGCTGCTCCTCCAAAGGACCTCGTGCCCGCCATGTTGTAAATCCAGCAAATATGTAAAGACTCATCTTTACAAAGCTGATGTCTCCACAGAGTCTGACATGGTGACACATCTTCAGATGTGAAATGCTCTTACCTCTTGTCTCCCAAACACCCTGTTTTCTTCCTAGCTCCTTCTTGCTTGCTTTTAGCAACTTCTTCTCTTCAGTATGATCCATACGTGTAGCAAATCATGTGCACTCAACTCTGAGCTTTCTTTTCTCTCCCTAAAATTTAGAACTTAAGTTATTTCATTACAGAAAAATAAAGTCATTATTTTCCTAGCACATCTCAGTGTGGCCTGAGATTCATCACTAAAAGAACAAGCAAGTATAAATCTTTAATATCAAACTATAATAAGTGCCTCGAAGGGAAAATGTAAACAGAGAGACTGGAGGAGAGCATAAATCACAGTAACTCATGCGGGGTGATTAGGGCTCCTTGAGGAAGCCACAGTTATGCTGAACCCGACTGAAGGAGCTGGGGGCATCACACAGGTGCGGGGTCAAGAGAAGAAGCAAAAGTAAAACAAGACAAACAGCAGGGAATGCTACTGCTCACGACTCCCACCTCCAAGCTGGAGCCTTTGTGCTCTGATCTACCAACCCCTTTCTAGCTTCTGACCTTTTCCATATGGATTTTCTAACACGTACTTGTTTTCTCCCTTCAGTAAATGTCTTCCTTCACCCAAACTTGAAAGTTCTAGCTGATTCCTCACTTTCCCTCACTACATACATCCAACCCCATGGCAAGACCTGTACATTCTATCACTCAAATATACCAAGAATCCACCCACTTGATCCTCTGCCACTGTCCAGGTCTGTGACACCATCTTCTGTCACCTGGAGATTACGGTCTCTGCTGCTCTCTTAACTTCCATGCAGGGCACTCCCCATGCAATAAATAATTTGAGCTTTGAAAATAGGAACTGCTTTAAATCCTTCAATAACTTCCCATAGCACTCAAAATATAAATTCTCTGATCTGCATACACAGCCCTGTGAGATCTGCCCCCCGCCCCCGTTGGCCATTTGTCCAACCTCACCTTGGGCAACCTCCCCCTCACTCACTAAACTCCAGCTTCTTGGCCAAAATTAGTTCCCGAGAGCCACCTCACTCTTGCGTGCTGTTTGTCAAATTCAAATGACTCTAACACATATTGTTCTCTAAGCCACACAGTTTCCATTCTGTGGAGTAGAACAGGAGGTTCCTTCCTTCTCTGGTTAGTCTACCTTCCTGAACAGTCGTACCAGGTCATGGGGTTGATAAAGGGCCACAGGTCTTGAGTTATCTGTCCACAACGGTATCCACTGAGTACCCATCATTTGTCCTTTCAACTTTAGGTCACCAAGACAGATAAATCAGTGCTGAGATGAGTTCCTGGTCTCTTTATCCCTTCATGAGTGGTGGGCAATGTCCTTGTGCCTTCCATGTCCCACTTGGGAGCCAGGACGCCCTGCCTCCCTAGCTCAAGACTCACCCAACAGCCATTCTCTGGCCAGGTAGAGCCTTGCTCTCTTGTGGCCTCCATTCCTACTCACCTAGGTCTCCAGGGCTGGGCAGTGTTACTCTAGTCCAGATCAGACCCTGCTATCCTTGAACCTTACATCTCCCAAATACTTTGGGTCTGTCTGACATCCTCTGCAGTGCCTTTAGGGCTTTTAGCCTTTTGGAAACCAAAGTCAGGTTCATTCTTTTCTGGTATATTTGCCTTCAAACAGTGGGCCCTGGGTTCCAAGCATCTCCACTTGATGGATGGGCAAAGAAGCGGTACAACAGGAAAAGAAATTATTGGTATATATTTCAGAAATATTATCCTATCCCATGTGTTCAGTGCCCAACTCTCC